TGAAACCAGTAGTGAAAGAATCATCATACTCCAGCTTTTAAGAGGATATTTTAAATAACACAGTTAAAACTCAAATTATAATTTATTACCTGACAATATCTTTAAATAGTATAGAGCACCTACTTAAACATTTTTCAAAAAGTAATCATGTTTTTTATTAGTGTATAGCTTTTTATGACCATAAGGGTTTTTCTTTACTTACATATGAATTCTTAATACCATATAGTTTGAAGGAATGTCTACATGTCATGAAGCCTCTGTTTTCAAACCTTATTTATGATTTAGCTGTTTTGTATGAGGTTAGAGCAATACAGGCAAGCACATTGCCCTAGAAGCAAAGAGGCGGTGAGATATATACCCTACACGTGTATACATTTCATCCACCTTTGTTTTTAAATATGAAGTAACTCATGGTTAGTCACTATTTCAAGTATATGGGTGTACAGAGGAAGAGTTCTTAAACTCTTTCAGCACTATAGGATGTACTGGGCTCACAGCTGAAATAGCTTTATTCATTGCATGGAGCTCATTTGGCCTCAACCTTTGCTTCACTATTTGACACTTTAATTCTAAAGAACTTCTCTCATTTCTGACTGCTTTAAACTGATCCTTATGTTACATATCAGTATTCTTTATAAAGATAGTTTTCTTATTTTATAATACTCTTCTTGCTCCATGATACTGGGATTATCAGTTAGTTTATTAGTAGTTTTCAATCCCTGTCTTTTCACAGTAAACTGATAAGCCTGGTTGGATGAATTTAGATAGTTTTCTGCCTTCATCCATGATCAGATGCTGGATACTAGAGTCCATGCCCCCACCACCCCACAACCAAAAAGAAATGCTTTTCTTAAAATATACTCAAACACCTGGCTGTAAGCATAGAAGTCTTTAAAAAAATGATATTTTCTCCTTTATTGTGGGGAATTTGGAAAATACAGAAAGGTATAGAAAGAAAATTAAAAACCTGTAATTTTTGCCTAGAGAAATATGTTAAAATTTAAGTGTATATATTTCTGTTTATTCCTTTTTCTATTTAGATTTTTGTATAAATGTTTTTGTGTATATATGTATATTTTTAAAATTAAATTTAGATCTAATACAATCAGTTTTAATCTTTTTTCATATAATAATATCATTTTCCCACCCCATTAAATGTATTTTGACACCCCACCCCCACCCCAGATTAATTACTATACAGTGTTCTCTCATACGATGCACCATGATTTAACTGTTTATTCATTGTTGAATGTTTTAGGTTACTTAACAATTTTTTTGTCATAAATAATCCTGTGACAAACATCATTATACATAAATTATTATGTGAAGTTCTTATTTTCTTTGTATAATATCTTGGAAGGCAAGTTCATGCTTTCAAAGTGCTTTCCAGAAAGGTCAAGTTTTTATTAGAATAAGCAATTAAGTGGAAGGCATGACTATTTTTGCAGTTATTTAATTCATGTCTTATGGAATCAAATATTTACTTATATGTGTATATAGAGAGAGAACTATTAGATATGTAAGTCTATTGGAGAGCTTTGTTGAAGGTTGGTTGAAAAATCATGCCTATTTTATGCAGAAGATGGGTTCCTTCAGAGATAAACTCATTATCTTGACTCTAAGGACATTATGAGAACCTTTGACAATGGCAGGACTTGATTTTGATTCCCTTGATCTTTAGTACAATGTCCAGGCAAGGCTTGCGTCTGTATACTTGTCCATTTGTTCATTCGTTTGCTCGTTCTTTGAGCAAAGTAACACATAAAACATTATCCGAAAAACCAAGATTGTCAGAGTGATTTAAGAATCTGTGAATAGTAAAATCTGGGCCAATAAATTTGTGTTCTTTAAGCCTACCTACCATAATGCTCAAACTTTTACAGGCATCTTATTTTTGAATAGGAATCTCTGGAATGCGTCAGTATCATGGCCCATGATCCAAATGTGATTCACATTTACTTGCACCCATTGTATCTTGACTCCTTATAAGTAAAGACTATGTATAGGTGAGTTCTCTAATACACTATGAACTAGATATGTGGTCGGATGCTGTGATACACCGTGATGTACATGAGGTGCATTCTCTGCCCTAAAGAATGCTAAACAGGTGAAATTGTATAGTCTCTTGTAACATGAGAACTATACACTGAATACTGTGAAATCATAGAGGAAGACTTTATTTATTTGTTTATTTATTTTTGGCTGTGTTGGGTCTTTGTTGCTGCGTGTGGGCTTTCTCTAGTTGGGGTGAGCAGGGGCTACTCTTCGTTGCGGTACGCAGGCTTCTCATTGCAGTGGCTCCTCTTGTTGTGGAGCGCGGGCTCTAGGCATGTGGGCTTCAGTAGTTGTGGCACATGGGCTCAGTAGTTGTGGCTTATGGGGTCTAGAGCACAGGCTCAGTAGTTGTGGTACACGAGCTCAGGTGCTCCGCATCACGTAGGATCCTCCTGGACCAGGGATTGAACCCATGTCCCCTGCATTGGTAGGCTAATTCTTAACCACTGCGCCACCAGGGAAGTCCGAGGAAGACATTTTTTTAAATGAGTAATACTTCTTTCTTCAATATAATGTAGATGTCACCTGAGATATAGAAACATGCTATTGAAATTTTAAACTTTTATAATTTGATAATTCTAGTCATAAATTGTATTCTTAATTTATTCATAATTGTAATATAATGCTGTACTTGCTTTTCCTTATGCTATGCCTTTTTCTTCTATTTTCTAACATTGCCCCCACCTCCCATTTTGTTAAGCTGGTGAACTTGGTTTGCAACTGTCTTATAAATTGACACACCCGTAATGGAAAGGATTTGACGTTTTCATAGTTATAAATATAATTCATTTGTTAAGCAAGTTTTGTCAAAAAAGTGATCCTTGTACTTTGGTATGGAGTTAAATCTTGGTTTACATTTCCTTGAGATAGTTCTTAATGCTTACTTTCTAAGAACACTTTTATTAACCAATTATTTGGTGAGGGAGCATTGTCAGAGGAGGCATCATAATCACATATGAGGGACTGGAGTTAATTAAGAGTTAAAGTTGATGTAAGTGGATAAGAGGCAGCTTGGTTTTTGTGGCTCTTAACAGTTCACTATTCAGAGACTGCAGGTAAAGGGAAAAACATTTGTGAAACTGGCCCACGGATAAAAGTGCTTTTTTATGTTACCTGAGCATGTTACCTTGGACTGATGAGGCATTAGATGATGGCAAGTGTATTATAAAGATATTGTAACAAGATGGCCAAAAACTGACATATAACTAGAATATTCTTATTCTTGTGCAATCTTATTTCTAAAACTAGTAAGGAATGCTAAGGTTTCCCAGTAGAAAAGATTAAATTTTAACTTTTATTCTTGAGTATATTAATCAGTTGTGTTTTTAATGTGTACCCATTCTGTGCTTAGTCATTTGATAAATGATATGCAAGCCTATAGCAGAAAAATATGACTTACCTGTTTTCATAGGCAGAGAAAATTATAGGTGCAGAAGTAGCACTGGGATTGGTGTGCTCAAGGACCATTGTGGAAACCAGCACATTGAAGGAGAGGTATATATTGGATAATCCTGAAAATTAAGGTCTGATGGAACCTGGAGGGCTAAGCAGAGGAGTTTGGTCTTTGTGTGGTAGGTAATAGGAAGCCATAGTAAAAGGAGTTACTTGTTAAACTAGAGTTTATGGTGTGTATTTTGGAGTAGGAACAAATAAGATCTAATTGGTGGATTTAAGGCCAGATTATAAAGGATTCTGAAACCTAAGACAAGAAGTTGGAACTATATACAATGGGGATTTTCACATGTTGTTGGTTCTTGATATGGTGAAATGAGTTTTTTTGTTTTTTTGTTTTTTTAGGATGTTTGCTATGGCAGGATGCATCAGAGTTATTTGAATTATAGAGAAACTTGAAATAGGGAGAAAATATGGGAAGCCAAAAGAGATTTGGGCCTGTCTATTGAGCTGGCATTGATAACATTTTGAAAGAAGACCTATGTTGGTGACAAATTTAGTTCATTCACATACTCGTTGAACGATTACTTGAGTAATTGCTGTACAGTGTGTGCTAAGCACTGAGGACTCAGTGGCGTGAAAAGATAGTGTGGAGCCAAGGGGCTTTCATTTTGTTAGAGGGTACAGGGAGTGAAGACAAGGCAAGAAGCAAAGATTGACACCAGGATTTCCAACTTGAACAATTAGAAGAATATAGGGTATAAATTTGATAGGTAGATAGATTTCATAGGTGGAAGAGAAGCAGTTTGTGGAAGGATGCGGGGGAGAGGGTAAGATAATAATATGTTTGGATCAGTAGATATAGATCTACTACATAGATATTAATGATGGAAAATATAAGTTTATATATATAAGTATATAAATTAGGGTTTCATCCTCAGACTTTTCAGAGTGTTGCAGGTGATGAGTATACGTTTCATCTGACTTGGTCTGTGACTGTGTTTATTTTGTGTTTTTCTTGTCACATAAAAATAAATGACATTTCATCAATTTTCTCTATAGTCTAGTGTTACATGAGAATTTTGATACATATTTACCTCTTTTTTATGTTATTTTTTGAAGAGTTTTCCTATCACACTAGTCACATAGGTAATACCATTGAGTTTGGGAGAAATGTTTGTCATGGAATAGAGCTTCTAATTTGTTTCAGTTAACTAGTCAGGAGAGGAATATTGTTGGGGAAGCAGTTAGTGATATTTTTAGATTCTGAGTTTGGTGTGTAGGCCCTCAGATTCCAAAAAGATGAATGCTGGAAGAGTCAATTCTTAATATTCTGTCATTCTAGGACAACTTGTAATTTATTATTCCAGGCCTTCATTTTCATCCTCATGACAGCCTTCACGTCATCTAGGGATGACATCAACTCCATGTATTAATTGTATACAACGTAAACAGAAGTAACCAAATATCACTAGTCCTTAACTCGGGCCTCCTTTTCTCCCCCCTTCTCTAAGGAACGACTACCAAAATCACTACAATCCCAATGACTTCCAAGCCCAATGTGATTGTTGTGCAAAAGACTACAGGAAAAGGAACCACCATTCAAGGCCTCCCGGGCAAAAACGTTGTCACAACATTGCTAAATGCTGGAGTAAGTAAGAGCTTGAACTGCAGACTCAGCAATCCACTAAGGATTTTAAAGACCAGCTATACAAATATTTGTCTAAGGACTTCAGAACCCACAATGGCCAGAATGGCTTGATTTACCCCTGCTGTGATGTAATAACTGTTAAAAAACACCACCTACTGATGCCATTTTTTATAGTAATTTCTAAAACATGTTGTTCATAGCTAAGTTGCTTATGACCATGATTTAGATGCTTAGCTTGGTCCAGATGGAAGATTCCACTGGGTTAACTACAGAGGGACTTCTGTCAGAGGACAGTTTATTCCTGCTTTTGGCCAATAGATACCAGTCTAGTATTTCACCTAGGCTAGGCAAAGAGAAATATTTGGGACTAAGACTAAATTAATGACAGTGATTTGTTACTTTCATTTTTACTTCTTTGAGCTAGTGAAAAAAAATCAAATAAATAACAGATTCATTTATAGTTCTGAAGGCAGGTGTTAAGAGGTTAAGAGATTTGGAGTTAGCCAAACCTAGGCGTTGTCTCCGAGTATCATAATTGTTTGACTTTGGCTAACTTATTCGACTTCTCTCATCCTTAATTTCCTCATTTGTACGTTGGGGATGATGATCTCTACCAGTGAATTTGTTGAGTAACTAACTGGTAGCTGTTGAAAGTGCTTAGAACAGTGCCTGGCACATAGGAAGTCCTCAGTAATTTTTTTTTCTTACTGTTATTACTCTTTGTACTTAACTGTCTAGGTTTGGTAGTGTCCCTACTTTGCTAGAAAAAAAAATGCTATACTTCATTGTAGTTGATCTCTAGTAGCTTCCTAGGCATCACAGTCTTTACAATGTTGGTAGGGGTCTAGTATTAGATTTTTTCATCATGTGGGAAAACATAGATTGTTCCTAGCCTTAGTTCACATAGTAAGCCAAAAGTAAAGCCAGGATTAGAATTCAGATTTTCAGAATGCTTTATCTTTTGGTTTGTAATTTCATGGAACTTGATATTAAAAGAGGGGAGTGCCATGTACTCTAGGTCCTATGGTCACATAGATCTAATAGTTTGTGTGAGTACTAGCTGCTATATACATCTAATAGCAACAGTTTGACACAGGAAATGATAGTCAAACAAGCAGATCAGAGTATAAGACCATCAGCTTAACCACATATGTACATGTACCTGTACTCATAACTTGCTTACCTGTGTATGCATAAACACACACAGACACACCAGAAGAGCTTTTTCAGAAAATAGCCTGCTAGTTGGTTTTGATTAGTTTTGAATGGTCTTTAATTATACTTGGACAGGGCCCATTGAGCTACTTAATAGAAGGGCATGCCCACTTGCAAACTAGCAGCTCTTGGCAAATGAACTAGAGCTCTTTCCAGAGATGCTGCTGTGAAGGGTTTACATGTATTAAAATAAGTAATCACATGATTGGCAGACACTCCCATGTTTCCCTTAGATAACTGCGGCAGACATTTAAACATGTGAATTTTGTAATCATTTAGCTCTAAATTCACAGAGTGATTACCTTTTTGCCAGCTCACCTGGGTGCTTTGTTTTTACTGGCTGCTAAGTTTAGATGGCCACACATTTAGGTGATAATGACTAAAAAGAAAAACTGATAAGGTGAAAAAATTTCAGATCCTTTGCTTTTTATGGATTTTAATTTTTTTAATTTTAATAGTTTAGTAAAATGATTGTATTTGAATTTAATTTAGTTAAGCTCAAGTATTGACTCCATAACTGACCAGAAAATGGTACTTAAGAATAAAGCAGATGAAAATGGTGAAAAGTTAATGGGCTTAAACTATCTAGTTAATAGACTAAAGTGATATTAGTAACATGCTGATGTGGGAAAAGTCCTAAGTTTTTTCTTTGTATTTTCCCATGTAACCTCAGAAAGAATGTTAATATCTCTGCTGATTTCATCTTTTGCCCATACTGTTTCACAGAGGCCTTCTGCTATATATCATTATAATTTCATGTTTGGGGAACTGAGGCAGTTTATTTTGTATGTGAACATTTAGCTATTGGTAAAATGCACAGTAGTTTTTTTATTACACATACATTCATTTCAGATAAACTGTCAATAAAGATGAATGTTGGGGGGATAAGACCTATAGTCCCAACACTTAGAGATAACCATTGTTAGCATTTTAGTATATATTCTTCTATAATTTTTGACTCTATTTTATATACATATTCTGTGAATGAGACAGTATAATAAGTATTCTTACATAAGGTGATTTTTTAAATTCACTCACCAAGAAGTATTTAATGCCTTCATAGGACAGAAGGTTGGTCAGAGGACTTCTGAGATCGTTTCAACTAGGTCTAAGATTTTTGATCACCTGGAAACATTGTACTTTGTTGCAGAGTTTACAGCCCTTTGCCCATCATCCTGGTAAAACCTTTCTGTGATTTTCAGTGAAAAAATGCATATAAATCTCCTATATTTACTGACTTCAATTTAGGGAGAAAAGACTATTCAGACGGTACCAACAGGAGCAAAGCCAGCTATTATCACTGCTACAAGACCCATCACCAAAATGATTGTAACTCAGCCAAAAGGAATAGGTTCCACAGTTCAACCAGCAGCTAAAATCATCCCAACAAAAATTGTTTATGGGCAGCAAGGGAAAACACAGGTATGCTAAGATATGGTGATTTTTCTTGACTCTGGTATATTTCAAATTCCTAGAAAAGATCAGTAATATTTAAAGAATCAGATTATTAAAAGTTATGATTGAATGTGTATAATCATCTGTTTACAAAATAGTACTTTTCAGTACTTCAAAAAATATACATCTTAAATATTTGTGTCATGTCATGAGCAAAGCTTAGAGAACAGAATCCCCTTGGAGGACTTCCCTGGTGGCTCGGTGGATAAGAATCCGCCTGCCAATGCAGAGGACTCAGGTTTGATCCCTGGTCTGGGAAGATCCCACAGGCCACGGAGCAACTAAGCCCGTGCGCCACAACTACTGAGCCTGTGCTCTAGAGCCCGTGAGCCACAATTACTGAAGCCGGTGCCCCACAATAAGAGAAGCCGTTGCAAGGAGAAGCCCACGCACCGTAACGAGAGTGGCCTCCGCTCGCCACAACTAGAGAAAGCCTGTGCGCAGCAACGAAGACGCAACACAGCCAAAAATATAAATAAAATTAAATCTTTGAAAAAAAAAATCCCCTTGGAATAAAATTTGCTGAAGGTATATATTGTTTTTTGAGAAGAAGATGGTTGAGGGATGATGGTTATTCATAATCTCTCAAAAGTATTTTTTATAAGCTTATATGGCCTTTGAAAGCACTTTGGATATTATAAAATTTGATTTACTTGAAACCTAAATAATGGAGAAGCTGAAGATCTGTTCATTTTTCAACAAGTAAATGATAAGGGAGCTTTTCTGGAGATTTGTCTGGGAAATTGAGGCTCAGGATTTAATCCTGTGTTGCTGGGCTACTGATTATTTTGCAGGTACTTTACTTTTCTGAGAATATCAAAGGAATCAATGTCAGCTTTGGTTGAGAAATGCTATCCTAGAATTTTTGTAAAAGCTACTAATTTACCTATAAACTAATAATTTGCCTTTAGAATCAGTTCCCTCAGTATTATAGCCAAATAGTTTACATATCTAAACAATAAGTTTTGTGATTTTCTAATAAGTTCAAATTGCCTTTAAATTTCAACTGTAGCAGTTTCATTTGCTCTGTCATCTAAGTCATAACCCATGTTTTCATTCTTGAATTTTTGGAAATGGTAACTTAAAGAGTCTGAAAAGGTTTAGAAACTTATATATGGGAGAAATAAAAAATAATTGTGGTGAAATAATATTTTTATTCCATGTACCCAATTGAACTCCCAGAGTCCAGATTTTGAGGTGGAATGGTTCACTGTGAAACTTTTCTCCCATTTCACTTGTTGTAGTGTCTGTGGTTTTGACCTTTGCCAAGAGTTGATCTATCACATGTTCCTTATCGATTCTAATAGTTGTCTAAATTAGTGTTCCTCTGGGGATTTCTTCAAAGATGACTTAGGTCCTTAGCAATTTTACTTTGCGCAGTTGTGTTAATTAGGCATTTCATTTGGTTGCTAAAGAAAAGAAACCTGAAGAACAGTGGCTTAAACAAATTAGGGTTTTATTTTTATTATGTTGATAAATATTCAGAGGAAGGAAATCCTGGACTGTTATTGTGACTCAAAAATTCCCCTGGGAATCTAGGCTCCTTGTGTCTTTCTGTTCTGCCATCCTTAGTTTGTGACTACCATTCTACTGTGTAGCCTACAGACTGTAAAATGACTCCTGAAGTCATTACAGGCAAGAAAAAACAGGGTCAAAGGCTCTTGTTAGAATCATAGCTGTTGTAATGTAGCATGTACTGCTTGAAATTTTGTATGTGGCCTGCTATAATTTGTTCATAGATTGAATTAGTCTTTGATGAACAGTGCTGTGCCCAAAGTATAATAAATGTACAGAGTACCGTTTTCTGTGTCAGGAAAATATTTGTTTCATCATGACCTAGAAGTTAAGCATTTTTTAAATGCTCTAAATTTATACTGGTTGTATTTTTGCTTGTGTTCTAGGTTCTTATTAAACCTAAACCAGTGACGTTTCAAGCTACAGTTGTTAGTGAACAAACAAGGCAGCTGGTCACGGAAACATTACAGCAAGCATCCAGGGTGGCAGAGGCTGGTAATTCATCTATTCAGGAGGGAAAAGAAGAACCACAGAGTTATACAGATAGTAGTTCCTCTTCTACAGAGTCCTCCCAAAGTTCCCAAGGTAAGATCCATTTTACTTCTGATTTATGTAATTACTGCTGACATAGTGCCCTAGTTCTAAAATAGTTGAATCTAGGGATCTCAAACAAACATGTATGCTTTGACTTGTTAGTTCTTTTGATTTTATTGTCTTTTGTTTGATATGTAATCAGTGAGCTGAAGTTTTGTTTTTGGTCAGGCTTATTACCATTCTTTCCTGCTTGACATATGTTCATCAAGTAATTGGTAAATTTTAGATGATAATTTTGGCAGGTAGGTATTATCAAACTGGATAGAGCTGTGATTCCTTCTGTTTGCTTTGAGTAAGTAGGAGAAGTATGCAAGAAAGTGAATATACCTTTTGAAATGGTTGTTGCTGAATCTTGAGAAAGGATCAAGGTGGTCAGAGGTGGGGCCATAAGTGGGCTGTAAGTGGGTAATCATACATTGCAGTTTGCATGGGACAAGTCTTAATTTATTTCTGTTCTAGAATAATTATTAATAGCATTCGCTTTCACTCTCAAAAGTGTTCCAGTTTAGATGATAATTATATGGTTGTCCTAATTATAAGGAAGGTGCTATGAAGCCAGACTCCATAATAGGGAAAATCATTATCCTTAGTGCTATTTTAATTATGTTGTTCTAGGAAGTCACTTGAAATAGACTCATGATCATAAGCTTTGAGACTTTCTACAAATCTAGTACCCATGTCTGTCAGTTACCTTAACCACCCACATTGTCAGGTAGTATATTTATACCTGTACTTAGAAGCTCTGATATATCCAAACAAAACTGCTTATCTTCTCTTGATCATTCCTCACTCACTCCATTTCCTCTCCTCACCTCTCCATTATTGTCTCTGGAATGCTTTCTTGGCACCTTCACTTTTCTAATACAGCTTCTTCATATTGTGAAGGAATTATTATTTTAACTCTTCAGTGGAATCTTCCTAGATTAGTCTTACTAATGGTTCAAATTGCTGATTATTCCATTAATTTAATTTGACATTTATTTATTAGTTTATATTATGTATTAAACTTCATGAGAAAGCTTCATGAAGGAGGTAGCATTTGAAATGGTCTTTGAAAACTCATCAATTAAAAATTAAAATGTTGATTTTAACAAACAATATGGTACTCATTTTAGAAAATGGATAATTTTCTTCTGCATATTATCAATAATAGTAATATTTTCTGAATCAATTTGCTAAGATTTAATTTATTATTCTGTATTGATTATGAATCAGTTTATGTCTAGTTATAGTAAGATGATGCTTATTCTCTATTTCTTTTAGACTTACTGATTTGGTATGTATAGATTCCATTCTTAGTTTAACTCATCAGATGTTTTTTTTCCTCCTTTATTTTTAAGTCTGTAGTTATTTGAATAATACCAGCCTTTTTTTTCCCTTGAGAAATATTTTCATAGTGGGCCAGTAAAATGTTTAGGTTATGAATTGGTGCTGAAATGGGGACCTGAACAGTGGATGTCTGTGAATACATAATCTCAGGTTATCTTTTGAAATTGCTAGTTTTTTCCCAAGAGAGCTATAAGCCAATCATTACTTCCCTAACATGCTATTTCATTAGTGAGCCTTCAATTTTCATTCTAAGAAAGGGACAAAAATTTGGCTATTTTTGGAACTGATTGAGTGTAAAGTTTTCTGCTCTTTGATCTGTTATTATACATGGCCTCATTTATTTTTGTTGTTTATCTTTCATTGCATATTCCTTCTTTTTAAAATATTCTGTAATACAGAAAAAATTCACCATTCAAAGTAGGTATATGTAATATAGTTGCCTGTAAAGCCAGTTTTTATAATCTGCATTTACTCCTCTCACCATATCCTTGTATAGTTCCTTAGTACATTCTCACAAAGACAAGGGACTGGGAATATATATATGCTATGATTTAAGAGAAAGGGATCAAGGGCTTTTTTGGGGTTTTGGGGGGTTTTTTTGGCCACACCTCAGGGCATGTGGGATCTTAGCTCCTCGACAAGGGATCAAACCCATGCACCCTGCAGTGGAAATGCAGAATCTTAACCACTGGACGCCAGGGAAAGGGATAAAGGTTTTTTGGTTTTTTTTTTTGCTGTATGCAGGCCTCTCACTGTTGTGGCCTCTCCCGTTGCGGAGCACAGGCTCCGGACGCTCAGGCTCAGCGGCCATGGCTCACGGGCCCAGCTGCTCTGCGGCATGTGGGATCTTCCCGGACCGGGGCACGAACCCGTGTCCTCTGCATCAGCAGGCGGACTCTCAACCACTGCGCCACCTGGGAAGCCCAGGGATAAAGGTTTTGATCAGTTTAAGACTCATGTTTGGTTTTCAAGGTATAAGAGGGTAGTACTTATGGGGAATAGAAGCACTATATAAGAGTCCATTCTTTCTTTATATCGCTTTTGTAGTTTTTAGTGCACCTCTTTTTAGTAACTTTTAATGTAATTTCAAACTTGCAAAAAGTTGCAAGAAGATTAAAAAGAACTCCTGTGGGCTTCCCTGGTGGCGCAGTGGTTGAGAGTCCGCCTGCCGATGCAGGGGACACGGGTTCGTGCCCCGGTTTTTATATTTTGCCCTATTTGCTTTGTTGTTGATTCTCTTTCTGTCCTCCATGTGTCTATAATTTTTAAATTTTTTAACCATTTGAGAGCAAGTTGTAGATATTATGTCCTTTACCTCTAAATACTTAATTTGTAGGTTTATATTTCTTAAGGGTTAGTCTGTTCATAACTAAAATACGGTTATCAAAATCAAGACATATGAAGTTCCAGTTCTGTAATCCACAGTCCATTCAAATGTCATCAGCTGTCCAATCATCTTCTTTGTAGTTTTACCACCACCCGCCCCCCCACTAGTCCACAATCCAAATTAGGATCATGCATTACATTTAGTTGCATTTAATTGTCATGGCTCTTTTTTTCCCTTAAATTTGGATAATCCTCCAGCCTTTCTTTGTGTTTCTTGATCTTAACATTTTTGAAGGAAGTAATCAGTTACTTTGTAGAACAGTCTTCAATTTGGTATTGTCTGATGTTTCTTTATCATTTGATTCAGCAGGAATTCCACAGATGTGATATATCCTTAGCTTTGTCTTATCAGGAGGCACTGATGTCAGTTTGTCCCAATATTGATGTTAATGTCGATCTCTTGGTTAATTAAAATGACATCTTCCCGTTTTTTTTGCATTATGAAGTTACCATATTTCCCTCTGAGATTAATGGTAATTTATGGGAGATGCTTTGAGACTATATAAATATCATATTCCTCATAAAACATTTATCTACTAGTTTAAGCATCCATTGATAATTTTCTGAAGCCCATTATTTGTTAGATAGTTGGCATTCTACTGTAATAATGAATCAACTTTGCTTGACTTCATATCCTTTTTCTGGTGACTTCCTTTACACAAGTCTTAGAATAAGGATGTCTTTTATGCCAAGGAATTTCTTGATTCTACTTGTGGTTTCGAAACTTTCCCCACCATTCCCCACCTGCAAGGAGGAGCAATTTAGGCCTTATACCTTCTTTCTTTCTTTTTTTTTTTTAATACCTTATTTCTGAACTATCTCCTCACAGTCTAGAATAGAGACATTCATCTTCACCTTGTTGTGGCACTTTCCTTGATCACCCTAGGAGGGTTCATCACTCCTTCTATATACTACGCTTCCAAAGTTGCTTTGTACTACCAGCTATTTTATCATTGATCATTTTATTTTGTACTTTTTTTTTTTGCTTAATATAATTATTTTCCTTTCCACTAGGCTACTAGCTTCTCAAAGGCAAGGATCATATTCATCTCTATATATTCAATAATTAGCGAAGAGGTTAGCTAGCTCTAAGTAGACACCCAGTAAAAGTCCCTGAATGAACAAACATCAGAACAGCAACCATAATAACTGTGGTACGGAGTTAAACTTCACCCTTAATAAACTAACTTCTGTTGCCTGAGTCCAAAACATTTTTTCTTTTTTGGCGTTTCCCCAACCTAGTGGGTGGGCCTTTTAAGCTGTATACCCCTGAAGTATTTTTACATACTGATAGCTAGATGACCAACCCTAATAGTTCAAGGTCATACTTGCCTAGATCACTTACTGAAGATTGGACCGTATGCCTTCCACAGTTCCTGAGCTTTCCTTCCTATTTGGATCTTCTTATTTTCCCTTTCTCACTTGGGAATAAGGTTATTGGGCTTATTGGGTTATAGATTTTTTTTAAAAAAAGAAAGAAAAAATGTTAAAAGTTTTCTTTATTTATATTCTCTTTATTTCCAAAAGGTTTTAAGGCAGATTAGCTAGAATATAAGATTATGTGAAGTAAAATGGAAGAGAAAAAGGAGACAAAACCAAGGGTAAGGATTTAAGATGGAACATGGCATGAGGCAAATATCAAAATGCATCCTGTAAAGACATTGCTTTAAGTAGGCCACAACTTGGTTTCTAGGATGGTTTTTCCAGAACCTTCAAGATCTTGGTAGGTCATGGTGAGGGTGAGGAATAAATCGAGGTTAAGCAAAACATACTTATTGCAGAACTTTTCAGAGCCATTATATGCTAATATATGTTGTGAAAGATGAAGGATATAATGTAAAATGCCCCCAACTTTTTTGACCATGGAACCCTTCTTTTGCAGAACATCTTTTTAAAAAAAATTTATTTATTTACTTTTGGCTGTGTTGGGTCTTCGTTGCTGCTCACGGGCTTTCTCTAGTTGGGATGAGTGGGAGCTACTCTTCATTGTGGTGCGCACGCTTCTCGTCGTAGTGGCTTTTCTTGTTGCGGAGTACGGGCTGTAGGCATGCGGGCTCAGTAGTTGTGGCTTGTGGGCTCTAGAGCACAGGGTCAGTAGTTGTGGCGCAGGGGCTTAGTTGCTCTGCGGCATGTGGGATCTTCCCGGACCAGGACTCGAACCCGTGTCCCCTGCATCTGCAGGCAGATTCTTAACCACTGTGCCACCAGGGAAGTCCCTTTTGCAGAACATCTTGAGGAATTAATGTTCTCTGGAACATGTGGGGCAAAGCTGTATAAGCAGTTAAATACTCTGAAGACCTTGGGCTTTATGACAGTACTTAGGAGGGAAGGTACCTATTACATCATGGAAGGGATATAGACATCTTGGGTTTAGTTAAAAGAGATGCTTTAGATGCATAAGGCATCTGGGAATCATTTTATATGAAGAATGGTAGGTGGAGAAAGGACATTTATCATGGAGAAGAGAAGATGAAAATTGGGTGGGGTTGTGGGGGACACGGAACTGTTGTCAGTTATCTTGAGGACTGTGACATGGAAGAGGGAAAAGAATTGGTCTTTGGTAGGTACATGGACAGAGCTAGAACCATTGAGTAGCAATCAGAAGACCTGTTTCCACTTTATAGAAGAAAATTTTCTAATTGTCCTAACAGTGCAAAGATGGAAAGAAACTGTCTTAGGAAACAGTGAGTTCTGTGGTGTGGGATTCCTAGGTTGTTAGGAATATTTTGAAGATTTTAGCATAGGATTGATGATAGTGTTACTTGATGATAGTTGATATCATCATCTATCAATGATCATACTATCATTGATGATAGTATACTTTTAGATTGTCTTTTCTAGCTGAGAGAGCTTATGATTCTTTGCAAATGTGATATAGGCTTTTTATTGTAAAGACATAGGAGACATTCTTCCATAGAGATGCCTGAATCTGCCTTTGAATATAGCAATAGTGTTTATCTCTAGTACCTAACATGTAGTAGATGCCCAATAAATATTTGTCAAATGACCTGTGGGGAAAGATATCTGAGGGTCAGTAGGCCATCATCCTCAAGAGACATAGGAAAGTCTAGATGGATGCACACTGCATAATCAAATGGAACTGTTAGATCAGGCTCCTGGTGTCTCAGTCATTGCACTCTGACCCCAGCATCAGACTTGGTAGGCAGTAGATTTATCTAGTCTAAGCATAAGCCAGAAGTAGAGAGGAAAATCACTCAAGGAATGTTTTTCACATTTAGGTTCACACCCTCATTCTGTGTCACAGCATTTGGGGTTGCTGCATTGGTGCTTTGTATGGTCAGCTACACTTTCTGAGTATGGGCAGAAAGAGAAAGACCAATCTCCCCAGTCCCTATGGGATGATGTTATGTGGGGTGATGTCTCTGACAGGTGGTCCCATGTGGAAATTTGTTCTCCTTTTCCAGTCTTATTCTATCTTATCTCTCTACCGGTGCAGTTTTTGCTTTCTTCTGGGTATTCAGTGTGTGTATTTTACAGAGTTGGGTTGCAAAGTCATTCTTTGCCTATAGGTCCTCTCACCTAGCCAGGGGTACTTATAGCATCATGAGAAATTCTTAAAATTGAGAACTTAGTTTATATAAAACTAATGATTCCCTAATATAATCAGTTCTCTTAAGTTTAAATTCTATATATCAACTTAGAATGAGTAAAGAAAAACTGTTATATGCCTCATGTGGCATTTGATATTACTACGGGATATTGTCCTTCAATCATCTAGATTTGTTTTGAAAGTTTAATGGAAATTATACATCCCTGGTGTGGCATATATTCTACCTAGTGTTTAGAGGCTAGGGTGGGGAGCGGAAATAGAATTTGTTAATGGTAAATAAAAATTCCAGATATTTTGTATATTGATTTTGTTTTCTTTGGGGAGACAGTTTTTTTGTTTTTGTTTTTTTAAGAGTCATTCCCCCCCATTTCACCTTTTTTGGACAACTTTGTGGTTTTCAAAAATACAAAGTTCATAGAAGGTTGAACTTAAGTTGTTTATTCTTGGTTTTAGGGCTGCATGAATTCTTTTCTGTGATGCTTTCACTGACCATTCCAATTCACAGTAGTCTTTTTCTTTCTATATAGTTGCCCTATTTGCCCTAATCATTTGACTTTATCCCAAAATACAAAGCTATATGTATATCTTTATTTTATGTCTCCTCCATTATAATCTAAACTTGGGAGTAAGAGTCATGCTTTTATAGCCTATATAATTTCCTGTGTGGTATCTTGGACCAAGGAGTTTAGGAACTTAACAGTAGTCTAATACAACCTACTTATTCTGTAGATGGAAAACTCAATAAATAATTTGTTGTTTGATTTGATGTGTATTTAGTATTTACATGCATACTTATATAGCATGAATATAATACGCCTTGAGTTAGGGCTATAATTTATTTGGAAACTGACAGAAAGGCTTAGAACTTTTCAGCCCACAACCAGAACAACAACAAAATAAAACACTTCTATTGTCCTTCATAGTTTATAAAGCTCTTTTATGTACGTCATTTCATTATATCCTTAGAAATCCTGTGAGGTAGAGAGGTAATTTTAGTGTTGCCATTTTAGAAATAATCATACTAAGACCCAGAGAATTAACTTGCTGATAATTGGTAGAGCTAGGACTGTAACATAAGCCTTTGAACTCCAAATGTTATACGTGTCATATCATGCTACTTCTAGATCATTTATCCATTCTTGTTGTCATGGACAGGATTTCCTTTCAGTAACTCAGCCATCCAATAAGTGTTCACTGAATGCTCAGGTTATAATACAGAACACATCTTTAGGTGCACTGGGGAAAACAAGACTCATACACCGTTTTGTTCTTACTGTACACAAACATGCACCCACCCACACAAACGCACACCTATTTATTATAGCAATTATAACATTGAATTGTAATTTGTCTCTTTACATGTCTGTCTCTCCAACCAGATTGTGTGCTTCTTGAGCATCCTTTGATTTTTCTGTGAGCTCCTTTATAACCTCAGTGCCAAATGTTGACTCAGGCACATAGGTGCCTAGTCTGTTGAGTCAGTGACTGAATGAATAAGTGAATACAGACATGAAAGACATTATGCCCTCTGGGGGCTTACAGTCTTCTTGGGGAGATAAAGCATGAAGTTTATAGTAAAACAAAGATTAAAAAAAAAACAAATTGTTTTTTTTTAAGAGAAACTTTGTTTATAGGGTTTTTTTTTTTTAACTAATATAAAACAGATTCCCAGCCTGTAGTTCATGTAATTGCTTCCCGGCGTCAGGATTGGTCAGAACATGAGATTGCAATGGAGACTAGCCCCACCATAATTTATCAGGATGTATCCAGTGAATCACAATCAGCTACTTCAACAATCAAAGCTCTGTTAGAACTCCAGCAGACAACAGGTATGAATTCACATGCTCAATTGAATGAAGCATGTTTTCTCTAGAGATGGGTTGTGCTAAAATACTACTACTGTTATATTTTCTTTGTTATTATTTGAGCACATTTCCCCCCTCTGGACTTGTCTATAATCATTGGTGCAGTCTGTTTACTTGTCAGTTCATTAAGATGTTCACAGGAGTACTGAAGGATAGACAGACTATAGTCAGTAGAAAGAAGAAAAAAATGGCAGAGCTCTTTCTTCTCTGTCTCCTGCTTAAAATGGACAATCCTGTTGCCTTTTGTCACCAGAAAGGAGTAGGTCTATCAATTCTAAGCACGGAGATAAATGCAGTACAGTTGCCAGTTCTATTCAAGAATAGTAGGAGGCAGATTGGAGGGCCCCTGCCATCCTCCTTGATATTGATGGGGCAGTTTTATGGTCCTAAAACGCCATTAATGGCCTTGCTAGCATTCTAATTTGTTTTTTTATCTTCATACTTCTTTGTGTAATTTAACGACTTGAGCTTCCATGCAAAGCTATTCTTATTTAACAAGATCCAATCAGTATTTCTAGTTACTAAATATCTTTGATAAACTCTAGGCAAAACTGTGTTAGTTATACTGACTTTTTTATTATAGTAGGTCAAATATTGTCAGAGTATTTAAGGGACCTTAGCGATGATCTCATCCAACCCTTTCATTATGGATAAACAAACCGAGACGTAGAGAGGTTACTCAACTGGTTAGTGGCAGAGTGAGAGTCCATGTCTTTTGATTCCTGGTTCAATGTCCTCTCTATTTGTGGGGTGACTTTTGTATTCCTTTGGTTTTGTTTTGCTTTCTTTGTTTAAATGATTATCTTGATTTTGTTACATTATATGCTTGGTGAGAATAATCTGAATGATCATTCAGTGTACTTAATTACTGGTTACTATTTGTTTGTAACATCCACTCTACACTACCCAAAGAATACTAGCTTTTATTGTAAGTCTTTGGTTTATCTTTCTATTGGTGTTATTTTTGGCTTTAGGCATTTCCTCAGCTCCTTATCTTTTACATACTCAGCTATTTCCATTAAAGCCTTATACAGGGTGGAAATCAAATGATTTTGTAGAAAAAGTGATAATATAGAAAGTTATTCTATCCATGGAAACCATTCTTGACTCCAGACCATTCCATTGACATTTTTGCAGGAACAGAGAGGCCATATTTTCCTGACACTGAAAATTTTTATTCTTTAAGAGTCACTAAAAATATTGTAACATTTCTTTGGAGATTATCTTGAATTTTTAATAGATCAGATTAAACTGGTCACTATTCACTGTGTTGTGCTCTTTTGGGCAGGTGTGCCCTAGAGCAAATCATGCTGTGTACTGCTTACTCACCCTTTGTTTTCAGGTTGGTGAACTCCACAATACCAGGTACTGCCTTGAAGAAGCATAAAGGAAATGTTCTAAGGGGAGTATGTACAGGGGAAACAGATGCAATTGTTTGGCCTAGTGATAATAGGGGGGGATTTTAGTCTGATTGCATATGAGTTCTTGCTAGGCTGCTGGGTATGGTTGCATAAGTTGTGCACTCTACAGCCATACATAGCAGTCTGCTTTTTTGTTTTCAATTCACTGACTCCTTAGTCACTGCCCATGTGGCACCCCAGAGGTCTTGTTCATTATTCCCGAGGACAACTCTGGTTTTATTACTTGTTTGTAATAAAAGTTAATTTTTCCCCTGACTTTTTTATACAGTAAAGGAAAAATTGGAATCTAAACCAAGACAACCCACTATTGACTTGAGTCAAATGGCAGTGCCTATTCAGATGACCCAGGAAAAGAGACATTCTCCTGAGAGTCCATCAATTGCTGTGGTAGAGTCCGAACTAGTTGCTGAATACATCACTACTGGTAGGTGTCCTCTTAAAAAGCAGTATTAAGGTAGGAGAGCTACATTTCTGGATTTCATGAGATGGTTGTTTTGGGGAGAATATATTTTTTATTTTTCTAGATCTCTTCCAGTTTTCTCTGAGAGCAAATTCACATTGTCCTTGGGATTTACCCTGTCTTTAATGACTAGGGGGAAAAAATCAATAGGTTGTTAGAAAGTTTGCTAGTAATATGAAACTGCAAGTTGGCCATAAATAACATCTGTGAACATAAGGCAATAGTTGCAGTGAGAGGATAGAATATCTTTTATATAAGAATAAATATTCATATGCGTCTGGAATTTTTAGTTTTGGGGAAGGGGAGGTGGGTCAAGGGAGAAAGAAGGTATAAAAGCCTCTTTCTTTTTTTAAATGTAAAGAAAATGTAAAGAAAAAAATGGAAAATTTTTAAATCCCTGTAAATACTTAGGAGTTCTGGTGGAAAGCACATTAGGTATTTGTTTAAAATGTGGTCTGGCAGCAAAACACTAATGAGGTTTTTGGATGGCATATGTAGAGAAGTGGAGCAGGAAGGATACTAGATTCTTTCATATTCTGGTGAGACCACACCTGGAATACTGCTTTCTGTTTCGGACACTTCATTACCTTGAGATTTGAAATCGTTCAGAGAGTAGTAATGTGAATAATTAGGGGTTAGGAGAGTTAGTTTATGAGGCAGTATGTAAAGAACACCTGTCTTACATTTTCTTTAGCAGTGATTAAAAAAGAACGTAAAGTTACAAATATTTGAAGGATGTAAATAACAAAGTGGAAAAGGAATTCTTTGGCATCATTTTAGGAGATATTGTTAAGATTAATGGGTTAAAATTGCCTAAAGGGAAAATCCAATTAAAAATTATGGAAAGCCATCTAGTATCTTTCTTTAGAGCTATTTAGCAAAAAGCAGAGCATAGTGTGTTGGGCAAATCAATAATAACCTCTGGGGATAGACTAGATTATCAAACAGTAAATAGATGAAAAGACCTATGATTTCTTCCCTTACTTATCCTTTTCAGAACGCACTGATGAGGGGACAGAGGTTGCTTTTCCCCTTCTAGGTAAGTGGTGTGCATCCATTTGTAGTATAACCTAAGGTAAAATATGATTGTTTGAGGGGGAACCACTTAAATGGATGCGCTCTACTCTGATCTGGTAGAGGAAAGGTAAGCTCTACTCAGTGAAAGGGAGAGAGACTTTCCTTTTGCAGAATACTAGGATTCTTTCTCAGAAATGAGCAGTTTGACATTGGAAAAATGAGTTGTTTAAAGAAATAAGTGACTGTTTTATGGTGTTTACATGGCCCAGTTAAGGTCACTTCAGCTGTTTTCCAAATATGCACTCTGTGACCTCCCTTCCATAATCTCCTCCCATCATATCCTCAGCCTCACTGAGTTTTTTCTTTGACTTCAAAGCCAGCTTCCTGGCCGTGGCCTCTTGTATTATCCTGCAGTGGATATTATTTTTCTCTAACTTTTCTGCACTCTGGGGAATTACTATGAAGAGATTTATAGTATCTTGAATGAGGATTATTTTTAAATGGTTTTAGCTGATCATCTATTAAATCCATTTCATTTCTTAATAAATTTAATGTAACAATTATGAAGATTAGTGTGGGCAACAGAAATCTGCCATATAATCTGATAATTTCATCAGAAATTATATTTATGTACTATTTATTTTTCAAATGTCATTCATTTCTGATGATGCTTACATCAGTAAAAAATTCATTAATTTGCTTGCTTAATTTTAATATTATTAGTATGATTTGTTTTTTCTCTTTTTCAGTTATATTATAAATGATTCAATACTTATTTTAATATAAATCTTTTTTCAGTTTGGTTGAACACATATGAAAGATTTTATTAACACATATAATTTAAAATGTACATATAAAGCATATTGTGAAATACAGTAAGATACTGTAGTACATTTATAAAAGAATACTGCTGCTGTTACCTATAACCTCATATCACATGTAGGCATACGTATAGCAACAATAGAAAAACTGCATTTGTGAATTTAGATAGAATATGTTATAAAAATAAAGCTTGTTTATATTTCACTGGCTAGTTTTAAAGTTCTGTACTATAACACATAAATGGCACTTTTACACTGATTTTTGTAGTGTTCATCTTACCCTTGGGCACCCCACTATGACTTTTTTAAGTATGGAACCACTACTACTTGAAATTATAGATCAAGATATATGAGAATTAGAACCACGGATTATTGAGAGAGTTTTGATATTCTCAAAATCCTTAGCTAATTTTACAGATTTGTTTTAATCTGTTCCTGATTCAAAAAGTTGGTTTCCTAGTGACCATAAGCATTTTTAAAGGTCTGTAGAATAAGAAGTGATAATTGTTTATACTGTTTAAAAAGTTGAAATTGAGAAGACTTCCCTGGTGGCACAGTGGTTGAGAATCCGCCTGCCAATGCAGGGGACACGGGTTCGAGCCCTGGACCAGGAAGATCCCACGTCGTGGAACAACTAAGCCCGTGTGCCAGAACTACTGAGCCCGCACGCCACAACTACTGAAGCCTGAGCGCCTAGAGCCCATGCTGTGTAACTAGAGAAGCCATTGCAGTGAGAAGCCTACACACTTCAACAGAGTAGCCCCCGCTCGCCACACCTAGAGAAAGCCTGCACACAGCAACCAAGACCCAACGCAGCCAAAAATAAATACATTTAAAAAAGAAAAAAAAAGTTGAAATTGAGGCTGATTAAAAATGGTAGTTTGACATCAACGTAGATGTATAGTTTTACATCTATATATAAATGTAAATATAAATGTATAGTTTACTCCATGGGACCTTGTAGCAAGAGACTAAGAGGTGGGGTTGTTTCCTAAACTATACTCTCACTCATTTGTGTCAGATGAGCTAAATTTGAATAGATGAAAGAAAGAACACTGACTTTTCTGTTATTTTGTTAACTTTATATTTTAGTACTTAAGAATTTAAGGACTATTTTCAATTCATTACTTCATTTGGTCCTTTTCTAAAAAATAAGTTTTTATCCCAATAAAAAAACAAAAATAAAACAAAATAAAACCTCTAAATTTTAGAGGTTAATAACATAGAGTTTAAGTGACCTCTTCAAATTCACATAGCTGGTTGGTGGCAGAGCGGGACAGAATCCAGTTGTGACTCTTGGTCCAGTTCTCTTTCTGCAGTATCACCTTGACCTCTTACATCTTTAGGATATGAGACAGTGTCACTTTATATATAAAGGAGTGAATGCTTCTGGTTTTTGTATTGCATCTGGAAGGGGGACCAAGAGATTAAAGAACTTGTACTGTCTCACTGTCCTTAAGGATATTAGTCTGGGATTTGATTGTTGTTTTGTTACCTTAATGGGGTAAAGGTCACTGGAGAAAGAGTACAACTCACAAGAGGATATAACTTTAAGGGATTTGTTCCTCCTTTGTGATAATTGTTTTCACAGTGCTTCCACATACATTTCTCATCTCATCCTTCTAATAGCTCTGTTATTCCCGTTTTACACATGAGGACACAGAGTCTCAGAGAAGCTAAGTGACTTTTTCAGAGTCACACAGCTCATAAGTGGGCAGACTCTGGTCTTCTGCCTCCTAGTACCACACTTTCTCTCTGTGATGCAATCTCACAGACGTTTGTTTCAAATGACTACTGGTTACAGGTGCTGTGGTGATTTCTGGAGAAATATCATCACCTTCTCTATTTTCAGTCAGCCATCGCTCCCAGCCCCAACAGCCCTCCCAGCCTCAGCGGACCCTCCTCCAACACGTGGCTCAGTCACAGACCGCAACACAGACTTCGGTGGTGGTGAAGTCCATCCCAGCATCTTCCCCTGGAGCAATCACCCACATCATGCAGCAGGTTGTATCTCTTCTTTTTCCTCCTACCTTCTGTAACTGCCTCCTTCCTGAAATAAGGTTTTGTTTCATCTCCTTTTATAAGAGGGGAAATAACTGAGTTGAGGAGTGTTTGTATATAGTTCTTTCATCTGTGAGGAGTAAGGGAAATGAACTGAGAGTCTTAACACTAGAAAGTAATTAAGAAATAGTATTCTTGGATCTTCTGTGAACTCTTAACATTTCAAAAGGGTGAGGCTATCTAGATGAATCTATGACATCAGAATTGGTCACTGTTTCTATGTATTTTATTGTTATGGAAGGATTTATCACTGAGGTAAGATTTTCAGATGAAACATAATTTGGCTTGTTTAGCTGTTTGTTGCTATTGCTGGGTTTTTCATTTGTTTTACTCTTTGCTTTTATAATGAATCCTTATGGAAACATTAAGTAGGTAAATAAATATTTGACTTCTTTCATTTTTTAACATATTTATTGAATATTTTACTTCTTTTACTCTATGTGATTAATTGAGGAAGAGACTCACAGGAAGGAGAATGAATTAGTATGAAACAGAAAATCTGGTACCAAGGGTAATGGGGAAAAGGAAAAAATATATTGATGACATTGATTTTGTGCCAGATACTGTGCTTTGAGCTTTAAATACTTTAACTTGTTTAATTCTTGCTATGATCCTGCAAGGTGGGTGAATTATCTCTCTTACAAATGAGGAAACTCATGCTCATAGAAATTAAATAACCTATTCTGGGTGGCAGAGCCAGGATTTAAACCCAAAGCATCCTGCCTCTATTATAAAGTTATATCATAAATATCAGATTTAAGCATGACTTATTATTAGTAGCCACATAAATTATCATTACTCAGCTGGTAGAGGTTGACCCTAATTACAGGCAAACTACCGGAAAGGCAGTGAAGAAATTGTTGAATTAAAAACCTATATGCGTAAGGTCATTATGAGAGAGGGGAGGGTTTCAGTTGAATCTCAAAGTTTTAAAGTTTAGAGTAGCTGTGTAGCCTTTGACAAGGCAGTGGGAAGGATGGGGTTGGGGTGGATCTTCTGTCACTGAGGGAAGCCAGATGGCCAGAGGTTTTGCTGGGTGTCCGCTCTCAGCCTGGAGTCCGGCCCTCGTCTGGCTGTCCTGACATTGACCTTTCTCAAGACACCCAGAGAGGTTGGACAGCTGGCCCTAACCATGTCACTCAAGATCGCTGCCTCCTCCCAACACTATTATAACTGACACCAGGCCATCTCCCTTTCTACTGACAAGAACACTCTTGTCCCCTCCCCGGTCTCCTTCCCTCCTGGGAGCCAGGTCTCTGGGGAGCCATTGCCTGGTGGGCCTAGAACCCAAGCAAAGAGCGAGGAGGGCTGGGGCAGTGGGCAGTTCATGCAGACCCTGGTGTGAAGCCTGACGATCCGTCTCCACTCGGAGCCAAGAGGCCCTCTGTGGGGACTGGGATGGGCACGACCTTCAGATAACGCCTAGCTTCTGGACCGTGCTGGATGGATGGGCGCACGGCCAAAGTGGGCTTCTCTGAACCTTGGCTTTTCTCTGGATGCCTCACTCCTGGGTTGCTGCGTTCTTCCTTTGGACAGGTGAAGAGGTCTGATGACCAGGCTGGAGAGCTGTGTCCTGAGCCAGGGAGCCTTTTCTTTTTCGGTGTCGTGCTGTGCTTGCAGGGCATCCTTATTTCTCTTACCTATAAGTTCTGGGCCCTCTAGGACTTTGCTTATTGCAGTGAGTTGGCCAGTTTTTGCAGTACTTAATGTTGAAGAACTAAGAGTTGAAATTATAAGAGTCTCAATCTAAGGCCCCCTTTAGCTTTAGAAACCTTGAGGTTTTTTGGTCTTTTTAGGTTCTCCCTTCTGAAATTTTTTTGAATGATTCTTGTAATCAAGTCTTTTCCAATTTGAGGAAAATGTAGCAATATAGGTGTTTTTCTTATTTCATTCTTACTTTGTGCCTTTTTTACTTAGGCATTAAGCAGTCACACTGCTTTTACCAAACACAGCGAGGAACTTGGAACTGAGGAGGGCGAGGTTGAAGAGATGGACACTTTAGACCCTCAGACAGGTCTGTTTTATCGATCTGCCCTGACTCAGTCACAGTCAGCTAAACAACAGAAACTTAGCCAGCCACAGCTGGAACAGACTCAGCTGCAAGTGAAAACTCTGCAGTGCTTCCAGACTAAACAGAAGCAGACCATCCACCTTCAGGCAGACCAGCTCCAGCACAAACTCCCGCAAATGCCCCAGCTTTCCATCAGGCATCAAAAACTCACCCCTCTCCAGCAAGAACAAGCACAGCCCAAGCCAGATGTACAGCACACACAGCATCCCATGATGGCCAAAGACAGGCAGCTTCCTACCTTAATGGCACAGCCCCCACAAACTGTAGTACAGGTGCTTGCAGTGAAAACCACGCAGCAGCTCCCCAAACTTCAGCAGGCTCCGAACCAACCAAAAATCTACGTGCAGCCCCAAACCCCCCAGAGCCAAATGCCGCTCCCAGCCTCGTCAGAGAAACAGCCGGCAAGCCAGGTAACGGAATATTGATAGCATGCAAAGTTAAACTTCTCTGTTCACGGAAAAAATGAGAACATCACGGCCCTATCGTGATTAGCAGTGCATTCTCCTGGCAAGAGGAAACTCAAAAGCCTCATTACACTGGTATTACTTTACCCCATCAGAAGGTTGACATTAGGGAAGAAATGCACGCGTTAATATAGGAAGAAAAAAAAGCATAGCGCTCAGAACTTGATTTTCCAGGCAGTTTTTAATGAAGTAACTTCAGCATTGATCAACAGTGCCTAGAAGCAATATCCCTAAATTATTTTTATTTTTTAGGTATAAAATATTTATTTCCATGCCTGTAAACTCTATTTCTGTGGCAATAATGCTAAGTAAAATATAGTCTTTTAAGGAGCTTCATTGACCATCTTCCTTTGTAGTTTTACATCATCACGATTTGGTTAATAAATTTATCTTCTAGATTTATCTTCTAGATTTTGGAGGAATTATCTGTGAATATTGAGAAAAAAATTATATTATGGAAAATCAGTGGCTTTGAAGTGATGTATGTGTGTATTATAAATACATATATATAGAATATGTTTGTATAAATGTATTTTGAAGCAGAAGATTGAAAAAAAACCCTACTTTTTATTTTAAAAAGCTGAAGATTATATGAAATAATTTGAGATCAGTTGAAGGTATACTGTGTGGGGATGTAAATCCCAAAGGAAAACAAGGCTGCTGTGACTTTTTTTTCCTTTACTGTTATGAACCTTGGCTGGCTGAACAAAGGTTCTTTTGACCCCTCCTCTTTTACTAGGTTTCTGACAAGTAATCGGATACTTTCCCATCAGCCCTCTTTAAAACACCGAGCTTCAAAATATCTTCCTAGTATACCGCACGAATGTTTCTTTTGCCATATTGTCTGGGGTGTTTGATAGGTTTTCTCAAAGATATGTAGCTGTAACACACACAACCCCAATTTGTTTTCAGGTGGAGCAGCCAGTTATAACCCAAGGATCCTCTGTTACAAAGATAACTTTTGAGGGGCGCCAGCCTCCCACAGTTACAAAGATAACTGGTGGCAGTTCTGTGCCTAAGTTGACATCACCAGTTACAAGCATATCTCCCATTCAGGCCTCTGAGAAGACAGCAGTGTCAGACATTTTGAAAATGTCTTTGATGGAAGCTCAGATTGATACAAATGTAGAGCATATGGTAGTGGATCCCCCAAAGAAGGCTCTTGCCACTAGTATGCTCACTGGTGAAGCAGGATCATTACCCTCCACCCATGTGGTGGTGGCAGGGATGGCGAATTCCACTCCCCAGCAACAGAAATGTAGAGAGTCCTGTTCAAGTCCATCTGCTGTTGGCCCTCCCCTAACGACAAGGAAAATCGATGCACCAGGAGTGCCTACGACAGGCCAGTTCATGCGTATTCAGAATGTAGTCCAAAAGAAAGCTGAAGAGAGCCCAGCAGAAATTATCATCCAGGTAAGAATCGGAAGGAACACCAGAAATCTTGAGCATATTGGGGGTTGTGGGTTTGGTGTGTTTTGGGATGTCACAGGAAAAGTCAAGCCAAAATGGGAAAGAGATTTATCTTTGAGATGGCATATGACAAACTTGGTTTACTACCTGTTACAAATTTACAAATTTATACTTATTTTCTAAAACAAAGTCCTAGAAAATTGATAGATATTGTCACAACAGCACACCTTAGAGGCAGTCAAGGGCCCTGAGCCCATGTGTCTGCTTGATTCATAGATGCAAGCCACACTTGCCAGTGTTGACTCAGCAAGTCAACCTACAAGATCAGCAACTTCCCAGGTCAAACTTTGGGCTCCCCAGTCTTTGCCCAAAGAATATAAGTAGTTTGTACTTCTGGGATATAACTGGATTGTACTCCTATTTCAAGTTAGTTTCAGGGACCCTTTCCTTGCAGAAACACAGTTCTTGGACACTGTGTTTTCAGGACAATAAAACCTTAATTAACTGAAATGTCTGGAGAGACATGTTGTAAGAGAATGTTTCTTAGTAATTTAATTTTATGTCTAACCTGGGATTAACCGTAAAGCTTTGCTTTTTATTTCAATCATTGTGTTATTGAAAAATCTTATTATGGTTACTGTCCTGCCCTGGTAAGTACAGGCTAGTGAACATGATGGATTATTCATTGACAGTAGATCTAACTATGCCTCACATTCCCTTCATTTTAAAACTCATCTGTCATCTTGTATAACAGATCCAGACTGAAAAGTTACACTGGGTCCAGAGTAGCTTTTAGAAGTTGTGTTTTATTTCCCTCTCTCCTTGCAAGGTATCAGGTTGTTCTCTTGACATTTATCGTTTTTGCTTGGAAGGTGTCAGAGCAGCACATTTTAGTTAATTGAGAATTTGGATGTATTGAAACGTGGATAGTATTTACCGTAGACTCACTATTGTGTGACTTAGGTGTTCCTATAGTAAATTTTGCCTTTCCTGTGATGCCAAGCCGTGAGAGAATGCAAATTGACCAATATTAATCCAAATATGATTTAACTTAATATGGGGGAAATGCTTAAATGCAAATAGATCTGGCCATTAAATTATTCAAATAATTTGTTCCTTCCTGTCAGAACAAATGTTAGTGAACTAAATAATCCTTGACCAAAGGATTTGTTACTTTTTCTTTCCACCTGCAGAGGTAGGGTTTGGTGAAAAAGGAAGTTTCCTGGCTTTGCCATTCACTGTGTGACTTTGGGCAAGACTACTTAACCTCACTGTGCCTTCGTTTCCTCATCAGTAAAATGGGAGTAAGGAATGCCTACTTTACACGATTGACATAAGGATTACACAAAATTGAGATGAAGCACCTAGCACAGTACCTGGCTTGTAGTGATTGCCCAATAAATGGTAGCTATTACTATTTTTACTAAAATTTACTGTGGCTCCTGGGAGTTTAAATTGGTATACTCACTAAATTGAAAATAATTTTGAATAACTTATTTAGAAATTATTTTCTGTACTTTGTGAAAACGGGTGAAAATGTAATTTGCTTCATGTATCAAGGATGATAGCTAATGAGTGGGTTCTCTACAAGAATATCAACTAACTTTTAGCATGTACCACATCATATGCTGGGTTGCTGTGCCAGAGGGAAGAGCAGCATAGTGATTAAGAACCAAGCTTTTGGAGTCGGAAATGCCTAGATTTGAATCTCACCTGTACTCCTTAACCACATTGTGGCTTGGAGCAACAGAGTTAACCTCTGTCCCTGTGATGAAATGGAAACAATAATACTTAACTTACAGGGTTGTTTTGAGGATTGAGAAAATGTATATAAAGCAGCTGGTTAAGTGTCTGATATAGAGTAATACTCAATAAGGATAGCTCCTGTTATTATAATCATCACTAATATACTGTTAGAACAGGTCTCACTAGTTATGCTTAGCTTTGACCCAAAGTATTGATTTTTACTGATTTAGTAAAGAACCTATTGACATGAGTGAAGGAAGTCTGCAGAAGTTCTTTGATTCCTTAAAAACTATTCTGTAAAAATTCAGCATGTTTAATATTAAACGCTTTGTACACAGATAATCTGTATTTCATTTATTCATTCATTCATTCATTCCACATGTATTATTTAACCTCTGTCTTCCAGGCACTGTGCTAGGTGTGAGGATAGAGGAGTAAACAAAATGAATGTATCTTCTGTTCTGAAGGAGTCTATATATGTGGAATTGATAGAATTTTAGAACTGCAGTGATCTTTAGAGCATATCTTCTCTAATTATCTTATTTTATACAAGATTAAACTAAAGCTCAAGGAAGTGAAGTGACTTTTTCAGAGGTCCACAGCAAGTCAGAGCCAGAGCTGAACTAAAATTCTGACCCTACCTGAGACTTTTTCACAATGATAGCTGTATGGAACAGGGGCAGGAGGGTGAGGGAAGACAAACAAGCTTCAGCACCCTAGAATCAATGCCTAGGCATCTTACACTATTTTCTTGATAGTATTAAAATTAAATTTGCATCTTCCCTCAGTAGATGGTTGTTTTGGTTAGGTATATTTTCAAAGTGCTGATATTCAGCACTCTGGGGTTTTTTATGTTAAAGAGACATTATTCATTTGGAAAGTATTTATTGAGCATCTGATGTGTGCCACGCCCTGTTTAAAGTTATGGGCATCTAACACTGAAAAAAATAGTCGAGTTCTGTGCTCTGGTCCATACTGTCTTGGATCTTAACATTCTAAGGGTGAGAAGAAAACAAAGAGATGATAAATGCAATGAAGAAAATGTAACAGAACATAATAGGAGTAGGGGGTGGGATCAAGCCAGTACTCTGGTTTCCTTTCATAGAAGGAAGGCTTTTCAAAGCCTTTTACTCTAGCCATTTGAGCTAAGATGCAGATGACAAGATGGAACCAGCCGTGTAAGGATTTGGAGGAGGAGTATTCCAGGAAGAAGGGAAGAACTAGTGCAAACACCCTATGGTACAAGTGAGTCTGGCATAAGGCTGGAGCCATCCATGGTAAGGCTTTTGATTTCATAGCAAGTACAATAGGAAACAATTGTAGAGTTTTAAGTAGGGGTGTGATATGAACTGATATACCTTTTAAGAAGGTATATAATAAAGTTGAGAAAAAAGAATCTGACAAGGCAATACGGCCTAATATGTGTTTATCTATTGGTACTTTTATTGTTCAAAAGACAGTTTTGTCCTCCCTAGTCTTATTTTCAATAAAGATAGTTATTATGTGACCCAAACAAATAACTTCCCCTTTGAACTACCAAAGGTCTTAAAATATATTGTGGTATCAGCAGATTAATCATTCATCTTATGGATAATAATAAGCAAAATCTGATTACATTTACATTTAAAATATGCTTACTGACCAAATAAAAATGTCCTTCAAAGTCTGTCTCTTGAATTAGGCCCAGACTTCAGCCTCCTTTGTTAGAAGAGGCGCCATTAAGGAGTGGAAAGATCACTTTGAGTTTTAGAGGACTTGGGTTTGAATCCTGGCATCGTGGCATTAACGCTGACCAACTGTGTGACCTTGATTAAGTCGCTTACTATCTTAGTTTCCTCATTTGTAAAATGGGAATAATATTAAGCATCTAGCACAGTGCCTGGCATCTAGTAGTTGTCCAATTAATGTCAGTTTCCTTTTTTCCTTCCTTATTGTTGTTGAGGAAATCCTTCTGTCACCTTTTTTTTTTTTTTTTTTTTTTAAACCGTAAAGCTCTCCTGTGTCTTCTCTTTCAGGCCATTCCCCAGTATGCTATTCCTTGCCACTCCAGCTCCAATGTGGTAGTAGAGCCCAGCGGGCTCCTTGAGCTAAACAACTTCACCAGTCAGCAGTTGGATGACGATGAGACGGCAATGGAGCAGGACATAGACAGTAGCACAGAAGAGGGAACCGAACCCAGCCCCTCTCAGAGTTCTGCTGAACGGTCCTAGTGTTTTGGACACAGGAGTGCACTTTAAAACCTACTGGGTTACCAAGTGTCCAGGGAAGCCCTTGTATTTTGATGTCTAAAGAGAGCACTTTGCCCATGCTTAGACTGTGGACCCTGAAACAGCAGTGTTTGAACAAGAATTGCGGCAGGAGTAGCATTTTAAAACAAGATAAAACTCACAGGGGAATGTACTTTTTTTTGAGAAAAGAAAAAGATGCACATCTACAGTGACGTGAGACATGATATTCTTTCTCTGTTGGACCATGGCTAATGGAAAAGTTTGTCTTGCAGTGGAAAGAGACTTTTCCTGTGAATGTTCCTCAGCTGGTTTCTACTGAGCAAAACACCATGAAAAAAGGAGAATGTGAATAGTTTGTATTTTGAAACAGTGTGTCAGGAACAGTTTTTTAAAAAAATCTTGTATGTTTTTGCAAATCCCTGCAAGTGCTGAATTGGTTAACATTTTACATCTGCTCAGTTCATATTTTATAAAATAACTAGTTCTTTAATACTGGCATTAAAGAAACCTTGTTAGATGGTAGAAATCAGGTCCCTAACCCGTGGGAAATACTTTTTGGGTGGCTTGTACGTTCTCATCAATTGTATGCTAATTTATTGTGTTGTTGTTCCTTTGTGCTCTAGGCAGCACACTTGCCTTCTATTTATTTAAATGTAAACATTTCAAAGCAGGCCATATTCCTTCTGACAAATTTCCTGTAAGCTGGGATTGCCTACCTTTTCCATCTCCAAACCTCCCCCTTCTCCTTTAAGAAAACTTAATGAGAAAATGTTTCATTGTGAAACAGAGGAAAAAAAACATTTTCTGATCCAAAGGAAATGTTCAGTTATGTTCAGGAAAACAAATTATTCATATGATGCTATCTTAACATTGAAATTGCACATTCATGTTGGACTGAGACTTTGAAAATAACTTTTACATACTTTTGTTTACCCCCCTTTGAAATGTATAAAAAGTTCATTTACAGTTCTAAATGTAATGGTTTTAAACATTCTACCTTTTTAGGACACGATTTGTTAAAGCAATATATTTGGGTCTTGTGATCACTGTCTGTCACAAGTAGAGTGAGGGGTAAGAGGGTGGGAGGGTAAGAGTCAGTTTTGACAAGTTGTGGCAAAGGAAACTATACTTTTCATTTTTAAAAGATGTAAATAGAAAAATTTTTAACGGTTTTATATAGATTTCACTATAAATAAGCATTTTAAGACTGACAAATGTTGAACTGTACATACATATAGCAGCATAACTGCCCAATGTTTTGGTGCTGAAGTACTGTAAGTAGAATTCATCAATGGTCTCCTGATTTTTACATCTATATCTGGAAAAAAAACTGTGATCCTATAGTTAATAAATTCCCACTGAAGCGACACTGAAGATTTAAACACAAGCATTCACAAGATGCACTGATCTCTGGTAGTTGTCATTATTTCTACTACGTGATAAGGACTTATACCCATAGATGGAGCTGTTGGTTATTATTTTGTTGTACAAATTCACGTTGAAAAGACTTTGTCACTGTTTCTGGTTAAGTAATTTTTTTTAAGCTCTCGGGTCATAGACTTCTTTGAAAATCTAATTATACTATGAACTCTCTCACCAAAATGATACACATGCCAATATACATGTTAGGTTTTACATACATTTTTAGGGATTCATGAGCCCCTAAGCCTATCCATGTGTTCCAGGTTAAGCCCTCTGTTATGGTCAGTCCATTACTTACAGATGTAAGTTTTTATAAAATATCTTTTAAATATTCATGCATCAGGTAACAAGAGCAAACTTTAATAAAGTCATTATGTTCTACTTCTACATGTTCTGGCACCATAGCATACCTGTGTCCCTTTGAGAATTTAGCCTTAATATGTTTCAGCAACTGAAATGGCAAATGAAATTTCCATAGTCTTCATTTTTAAAAATTAGTATATATTTTAACAAACTATCAAGTGTGGGATATAATCTTTTTTCTTTTAAAGTTGTTAACTTCAAGGAGAGCATGAATTTCAGTTTATTCGACAAATATTAATTAAGCATCTTCTGTGTGCCAGGTGCCATTCTAAGCACCAGGAATATACCATAGTGAATAAACAGAAAATCCTACCCTAATGGAGTTGATAAACAAGGTTACCTGCTGATGAAATGGATACGAAGGCTAAAGGAAAGAGGTAACAAGAGTGGCTCTTAGATTTCTTGATTAAGTAGATGGATGGTGATGCCATACATGGAATACTTTTATTGAAAGTCTTAGCATTAGATCTATTAGTATTTCATATGTTTAAGTCCATAAGTTAAATGTAAATTTAAGTCATCCACGTGAAAGATATTCAGAGATTACAATGCAAATGCTACAAAATTAATAAACCCTAAATGTTAAAGACAGTGATAAGAAAAATCCATTTGGTTTAAAGTAAACATTGATAAATACTTAGTACTGCAGATGCAGTTTTTGGTGAACTTAGAGAACTTAAAAAAAAAGCTTTATTGAGATTAATTCACATGTCATACAATTCACCCATTTAAAGTATACAGTTCAGTGGTTTTTTAGTATATTCACAGAGTTCAGCAGTCATCACAACAGTCAATTTTAGAGCATTTGCATAACCCCAAAAACCCTGTACCCCTGAAACCACCACCACCCTAGCCCTAGGCATCCACTAAACTAATTTCTGTCTCTATGTATTTGCCTATTCTGGACATTTCATATAAATGGAATCATACAATATGTGGTCTTTTGTGACTGGCTTCTTTCACTTAGTATAGTGTTTTCAAGGTTCATGTTGTAGCATGTATCAGTGCTCCCTTTTTATGGCTCAGTAATAGTCCATTGTGTGGATATACCACATTTTATCCATTCATCAGCTGATGGGCATTTGGGTTGTTTCCACTTTTGCACTCTTATGAATAATGCTGTTACGAACATTTGTGTACAAGTTTTACATAAATTTTCAATTCTCTTGGGTAAATATCTAGGAGTGCAATTGCTGGGTCATATGGTAAGTATTTTTAACAATGTGAGGAACTGCCAAACTCTTTTCCACAGTGACTACACATTTTACATCCTTGCCAGCAGTGTAAGAGAGTTCCAGTTTCTCTGCATCTTAACCAACACTTGCTATAATTTGCCTTTTTAATTATAGCCATGCTAGCGTATGAAGTGGTACGTCATTGTGGTTCTGATTTACATTTCCCTGATGGCTAATGATGAGCCTTTTTTTCATGTGCTTATTGGCTGTTCATACATCTATGGAGAAATGTCCTTTGCCAATTTCTCAATTGAATTATTTTCTATTTTATTATTTAAATTGAGAACTTTTGAAGTACAGAAATATTACTACTCTTAAGAGAAAAGTAAGCTGTTTTCTGGATATTAATTCATCACCCTTAAAATCTTAATCAGGTTCTCGTTCTTCCCCTCTAATGTAACAAATTGCTTAACATCCTTAAAACTGTACAGAGCTTTATAGTTGAAAATGCCTTTAAATACATTTCTTTGTGAGGTTCTGTCAATAGCCTGCTGAGCTAGGAGACCTCAGTAGCACCTGGGATAGTGCAAAGGAAATAGTGGTCAGGTGGTCTGTATTTGAGTCCCAGGCTCCTCTGTTTATTGGTCATATGAACTTGAGGAAGTCACATTCCCCATAATACAAAGTGAATATTTCTGACCCCATAGGATTATTATTTATTACATAAACTATAATGAAATAGTTTATGTAAAAATGTCAGGCATTCTTTAAAAAGCAGATTCATCTCAAAAAAATGCCAGGCACAGAGTTACGTGCTGTATTTTTTTAAGTAATATTTATACCACTCCTCTATAAATAGAAAACTGAGGGCTCGGAGAAAAGTGATGTACCAAAACTCACAAATTATGTGCTAATAGGTATCATGCCAAGTCACACAAGTTGCTGCTTTCTCTAGAGGAGTGTGTGCCACCAGACACAGGACTGGCCTTTGGAAGGACAGAGGAACTTGGTGTTGGTCTATAACACGATCTTTTTGCCAGCCTTACTTGCCTTCACACAGAAGGACAGAGGAAGGACAGAAGCCTTTGGAAGGACAGAGGAACTTGGCGTTTGTCTATAACACGATCTTTTTGCCAGCCTTACTTGCCTTCATACAGAAGGACAGAGGAAGGACAGAAGCCTTTGGAAGGACAGAGGAACTTGGTGTTTGTCTATAACACTATCTTTTCACCAGCCTTACGTGCCTCAAACAGAGGTGCTCAATTCAGTTTGAGTTTAATTATGTGTCACAAGCTCCTGATAAGAGGAAGTGGAGTAAAAAAGCGCCATATGAGCAAGGCCTTTCCAAGAAAGGATAGTGAAAAAAGTCTTCTGCCTCTGCTTGCAGGTTTGTAAGCCTTTAAGTAAGCGAGGTTTGACGACCTATATATATATATTGAAAAAAGAAACACTGTAGATTTTGTACTTGTGAGAAGGCTCACTCTGCCTTTTTCTCTCTTCCTTGCTTATGTATACACTGTAACTGAAAACATGTGCTTGCTTTGAAAACAAAACAAAAAAACCAACAAGGCTTGGTTTGAATCCTGACCAGCCATGTGAGTTTGGACAAGCCCTAAGAGGCTTAAAACAGCAGAAGATGGAATGAATTATAATTCCTACTTTTAAAAAAGACATAGATGAGTAATATTCCTCCCAAGTGGTTCTTTCTGACTTTTTTTTCTCTTCCTTCAAATAAAGTTACTGGGTACTTTCTTTGGGCTGACATCGGGGATACAATTGTCAGCCAGGGGGAGAAGCCCCTGTCCTCATGGAGCTTCAGCCTAGCAAAGGAGATATGTTCATCAAAGATCACACCTAAATGTATTCAGTGCTAAATGCCATGACAGAGAAATAGTGCCATGATAGCATATAAATGGGAAGTTGGGGAGTTTCCCTCAGGAAGGATTGTTTAAAGTGTAATCTGAAGGAAGAGGATTGAACTAGGCATAGAGGAGGGGGACAGCTGTCCAGTAGATGGACAGCAGATAAAAAACCTTGTGGTGGAAGGGGAACTTAGGCCAGTGTGACAGCAGCGTGGAGAGCAAGGGCAGTGAGCATGGTGGGAGCAGAAGGTGGAGACCAAACTATATGGATCTTACAGCTTATTATAAAGGTTTGGGTCTTTTCTCTAAGAACGATGAGAAGTCAATAAAAAGTTTTAAGCCATTAGAGCTGGTAAA